ATAAATGCGCTCGGAACATACACACACATATACCGACACACACGCAAATATAAATAAACACACACAGAGAGGGTCTCGACAATATGCATATTGTGCAATTGTTGTAGCATAAAAAGCATAATAGAACAGAGAACAGAAGTTGGCTGCGGAATAAAAATTCTTACCAGGCGCTTTGCTCTTCGGAACAGGTTTGTTGGCTGAAATTTGCTTTTCATAGAAATGCCTTTCTTGCAATATTTTTAAAATTCACTTAAGAATGTCAATTTTTGGATACATCGTCGTTTTTTCAAAAGAATGTCACAGTCAACAGCGAAAGGAGAATTTGCTCAGTCTTTGTCTAACCAAAATTTTTTCACCGTTGTGTTCTATTGGAAATTTTTTGTCGTAATGTATAGCTCATGTGAATACTGGCGGCTCATCGATGCTGCATTACACCTCAACTTTTTCAACACTATAACTTACCCAAACTAACTTAGTGAATATTTTTCCTAGTGGTAATAGGATTTTGCTAAGACGCATCGAAATTAACCGATAAGAATAAAAGTAAGCCGAATATTAGAAACTGCATCCAAAAAAAAAACGTTCACAAAATCGAACAAAAAAAAAAACACGCGAGACATCAATTTTGTAAAGAAAATCAATTTAGGCGTGTGTCTCTTTTGCTCGGCTAGTGCTATTGTGTTCAAGAGGTATTACCCGCGAGAAGGACACCCTCATTTTTCGGGAATCTGAATGCGTCAGTGCATTTTTTTTCTGCTATTGGATGAAAAAGCATCGATGCTCAAAAATCATCTGAAGCATCGATGCTAACAGAAGAAGCATGTCGATCAGTTTAATTGTGACCGCAGTGCAGCCAAGCTTCACGCGCACATGAACTGCAGCATTTAACAGAGTTGTGAATGCCAATTTCGTGAGTATGCAGCAGTTTGACAAAGAAATTTCAAGCGTATGGTTTAAAATTTTAGACACAAAGCTTTACCGTTATATATTTCGTATCCTTGGTCCTGCTCTACTTTCGTCTGTTTGGGTGCTGAAAGATGTACGATTTTGAGTGGCTGCAGAAAAGCGGTGCACTGCAATTTGTTAGAATTGAGAGCGTACTGTTGTCACTCACTGCGACGACTTTTCTCAATCCTAAATTTACAGCTGAAGGAAATGAGGATGCGAAAGCTGCTTCTGAATTCACATCTCTGGAATTCCAGTCTGTAG